AGGAACGATACAGTAGTTTTATTTTATTTTATTGCTTTTAACCTGTTTATTTCATATGTATATTTATCTATATAAGCAACGAAAGTTGCCTCTTAATAAAAAGATCTAAGATTAGAGAATAAATCCTTTCACATGATAACTCTTTCATTGATCCCGAAAACCCCTAAATTACCACTTTCAATTACCCCCCGTTAATCAAATCCTGATCAATTTAAACAATAATCAATAATCCCTTTGATAGTCTTATAGATTCCCATTGTTAAAATAGCCAACTAATCTTAAAGGAGACCATATCACATGCCATGTATAAGAATTGAAAATATAAGAAACCAAAATAGAAACATCAAGAATCAAAAGCCAAATACCTACCTCAATAATCAGTACAATTTTCAAACAATCCCTAAAACCCAGACCAAATCCTCCACACCCTTTTTCAGCCTACCAACTCAGAGTTAATTGTTAGATTTGTAGTGTTTGTTTATTTGTTTATTGAACTATGAACCTAGGTGTAATCAGAGCCTCTGGATGAGTTCTATACCAGAACTGGTTTACACCTTTTCAATTGATGGTGACTGTGAGATTCACAATACCAAATTAATAACAATTGTGCTCCACTCTCCTCTCCTCTAATTAAATAACCAACTCAGAAATATGGACTTAAAATTAGAAAGGTTAGAAAATGAATGAGCTATATTGTTTGTAGTGCTTACTGAAGAACAAGCCTTAGAAGTCTAAGGTATAATTAACATGGCTTTCAGAGATAATGATTTTGATGATATACAAATTCTTCTGGCTCTAGAGATTTTGTTGAATGTAATAAAAAATGTTAGCAATAATAAAAGGTATAAAAAAGAAGAAATTAGATGCTTGCCTCCTTATACCTAAGCCCAAAAGATAAATTTCTATTAAAAGCAAAGTCCTTTTTGCACAGACAGTTTTGAGGCCTATAATATAGAAGAAAACATTAGTATAGATAAAAAGAATCTTCTATAACAAAATATTAGGTACCAATACCAAATGATGAACTCAACTACAAAAAGGAAATATGGGAGTTAAATATACAATTAGCAGCCTTGTCTAGCCAACTGAAAGTACAAGAGAAAGAATTGGTTCAACTTCATCAAAACAAATTCCAAGGACCAAATCATAGCATCTTAAAGCCAAACTACAGGAGAAATATAAACCAACCTATTAAAGAAAGACAAATTAGTATAAAGAAAGCACTAGAACATCAAAGTAAAGGAGAAGAACAAATTATATACCTCTCTCCCTATATTCAGATAGGCTTAACAGACCGAGAGTATCATTCTGAAAAATCATTTATGCTGATATCAAAGCAGGTCCAAAAGAACTATAATAAAGATGAAGGTTACTTACTAAAGATTCAATGGAAAGAACTCTCTAATACTGAAATCATCAAAGAGCCTAAATTTATAGGGAAGCAAAAAGAAAAAGAAAAAGTTAGTATGCTAGAGCAGAAAAGAAAATATAAAGAAAATTTTAAAGATAAGAAAAAGGATACATTCTTGATTGAAAGACCCTATCCTACTATAGTTCTAGAAGAACTAAGCACAGAAGACCTCAACGTTAAGAAAATCTTTATCATATAGATGTGTTCAAAGATCATAGATGATCTAAAAATAAAAAGAAAAAAATTAATAAATTGCTTAAACTTTGGAGTAAAGATAAGACAAAGTTAAGTGAAGACTTACTGGAATGTACTATCAACTACTCTGAATTCTCTAAGAAACAAGACTATCAGAATATCAATATCCTGAAGAGAAAAAAAGAAAAAAAAGATAACTGCATTAGACTTTTGCACTATAATTGTCTTCCTAATTATAGTCAGATAGTTGAATTATAAAGCAAACAAAGGAGTATTATACCTACCTAGATTGAGCAAATCGTTAAAAAATTACTTAAGCAAAATTGCTACAGATAATTTATTAGAAGAGTTAGTCAACATTAGAAACCAACTAAATATAAGTACCAATGATGAAAAAAGCTACTTACCTAGATAAAAGGTGGAGAAAAGAGTCTTAGAACTGCAAATAAATAGTGTTAAAAGATTAAAACTGAAATAAATTCTAAAAAAGAAAGAAAAAGATGAATTAGAATAAAAATAAAATAAAATCCTTTATAACCTCTTTGGGATAGACCTAACACTCAGTAGTTGGTTAGGATAGAATAGAGCAAGGTTCAGGGCTCTATTTATTTTATTATCTAGAGTAGAAAAGAAAAGAATTAGAATAGCACTAAAAACAGAAACAAGAGACAGCAATATCAATATTTAGACAAGAGAACTAAAGATTGCAAAGAGAAACTATCAGGATGATAGCAAGAAAAGTATACGTATGCACAGAATAAATCCTAACAACAAAGTTTTAGAGAAAGGATTAGCAAGATAACATAGTCAGAAAGAAATAAGATAACAAAAAGGAAATACCAATTGACCAACAGACCTGATCACATGACAATCATGAAGAGACTTCATGATCATTAGAACCCTATCAAGAAATTGGAGTTAGTAAGAGAAAAAGACATTCAAGATGGAATCAATAGAAGAAAAATAAGAAACTACTTACCTCCAGAGACCCAAATCTGAAGAAACAGAATTCAGTCCAGGTTCCGGTGTCCTGGCACTTTTTAGAGATAAAACAATTACTTACCTGAATAAGTCTTGATTTTATGCATGGTACGCATAAATTAACGAAGGGAGAATTGTAAACGGCAAATCTGCTCCCGGAGCTACCGCAGCCAAATGTGGTACCACTTCCGATTTCTCCGATTTTTCTGTTTTATTCGATTATTCTGTTTTTATCGATTATCATTCTTTAAGATATTATGCCGATTTATAAAATAATACCGATCTACAAAAAAGACTAAAACAATATGATTAGCAAAATAATGTCAAACGAACAATTCGATAGTATTTTAATAATAGGAACGATACAGTAGTTTTATTTTATTTTATTGCTTTTAACCTGTTTATTTCATATGTATATTTATCTATATAAGC